TTTTTTTTTTTTTTTTTTTTTTTTTTTTTTTTTTTTTTTTTTTTTTTTTTTTTTTTTTTTTTTTTTTTTTTTTTTTTTTTTTTTTTTTTTTTTTTATGAGATTGTAATATAACTATGTGCTACCTTAATTTTATCGCCAACATTCTAGTACACTCTGATACAACCATCCCAAAATTGACTGAAACTTTGGACATCTAAATTATCATCAACAAGTTTTAGTTATACCTAGATTTCTCCATGCATGAACTGCACAATTTTGAGACATTTGGGGGCTTTCAACTTTCTGGAGTTGATTCCTTGTTAGGGTACTGCGAATTAGAACCAGGATTAGGATGCACGTGGAAATGGGCTCTAAATTTTTCATTCTTTTAGACACGGTAAAATGGGTAACAAGGGAAGAAAAGATCCCACGAAGCATGAGACATCCGACATCCAAACAGCTAACTGAAAAGCAGCTCAATTGTTAAAAATGGACGCTGGGAGAGTAGTTACGACATCTCTAGATAAACAGCTCCATTAGGTAGCTACATAAAGAACACAATTCCATTTGAATGTTCTATTTCTTTTGAGATTCTACAGTTCCCGTTGTGCATACAACTTATCTTCCCTCTTGGCCAATAGGATGATCTTTTTGTTAATCCTATGGTTAAGTCCTCATGGCCAATTGGAAGAGGTTTCTTTGTAAGCCCTATGGCCAGGCCTTCTTCATATTATCAATGAAATTCTCTTATAATGTCTTTTTTTAAAAAAAAAAAACATTAACCCACATCAGTTCAGCTTCTGTTGAAAAGTATCTAGCTTAGCTTGGCCGAAGAAGTCTCTGATTGTGCATTATTTAATATCAAAAGTACTGAAAACAATAAATAACTGAGGTCTGAAACCAAGTACCATAAAAAAATTAATAAAAAGAAATCTGAGTGATAAATTGTCTGTCAGTCTTCAAGTGTTTTATTTGGAACTTTTTATTGCTTTCATGTGTACTTTTTCTTAAGGGTCTTTTCCTGTTTGTTATGGATGATTGGTAAATTCTATACCAGCGATGAATTGTCTAATTGCATCTTTCTCTCGAGCTTTTATATGCCATAGTGGATCATAATTATAAATTATCATGTAAGTTTTAAATGATTACTTTGACTGTTATGCAGCTATCAGGGATCGTATAGTTGGAAAAACTGCATATGGATTTGGCATCCGTGTTGAAAATCTTAGAGAGGCCAGGTTGTATGAAAGCCTTATTTCTCTTTTATCTTCTATCCTTTCCCGCATATTATTAGCATTTCTCCATACTATGATCCACTCTTTTCGTATGTCATAGTATTAAACTTTCTTATTTAGAAATATGAAATATTGGGTTGGCTCTGCTAATTTGGTCACTGAGTTCTGAATTGTTCGCTGAAACGGGGCATATCATTCAAGCTCTTGTAGTAACTGTAGATTCACTTCACTGTTTTCAGTTATCAAAGAGCCGATCCAAACTTTGTGATGCTTACACCAAGCAAGGAACACCTGGCTGAGGGCTTGATTTGGAAAATTGGGAAGAGACCGATGCTGCAGTCGGATATAAATGCTGGAAATTTTGATGGCATTCCGAATGAATTAAAACCCTTGAACAAGATTTTGTGAACTTTTTCCCCTGTCAAGTTTCTACCTGACACAAGCAAACGTGGCTTCTTATCCTGAAGAACAGAAGATGGTTCCCTTGTAATTTTGGATTAGAATTAACTCTAGTATAGGAATTCAAAAAAATGTTAATTCTTTCCCTCTTCTGGCTTCTTCACTGACAAGGAGGCCTAGAGTGGGAAGTAGTTGTCAGGAATTAAAATGATATTTTTAGACAGTCAGGTGATGGCCAGTTATCTGTTTTTTCCTCGTATGTGCTTTGTCTTTGCATTTTGTCGAGTTCACAAGGTTCTGGCCATCAGGATAGCCTAAATTTGTTATTCTAAACTAAAAAGTTCTGAAATTTTTTCCAAATGCTTTTCGTTTGATTCCGGAACGGGA